TCTGCTTTTTGACCCTTAAGGTTATATATGTGTATATACGTATATCTGTTGGTGCATGCACTTCTGTATAGTGTGTCCTTATTTTTGGTCGTGCAAGAGTGAAACTGTACATGGCAGGCTCTACCTTGGGGTAATGCTTTATTAGATTCTACAATTCGAGTCTTTCATGCCAATAATAGAGCAAATGTTAGATCGATGATTTAAGTTTGGCTTGTGGGCTAATAACCTAATTACGTGGTGGTCCTATAATGACACAGCCGTGTGATCTGTGCGGCCATCGTACTTCAATTTTAGCGAGGTTTGAAGTCACAAGGAAGTAAGGTAGTTACGGCTATCAATCGAATGATTGATTTACTAGCCCGTTCGGTTAACCAGCAAGGTCAAGTACCTGGTAGCCAGCAAAGGGACCATGAAGATAAGGACCTGAAACGGTTCCAAAAGCTCTGCATTCATTTCTCTGGACATACTTTTCGTTAAGCGACTTTAGAATAGGAGTACGTGTTTTAAGCTTTGATGTCCGTGCACGGCTGGCCTGGTTCTCGTCAGCTGTGAACGGCCTTGACCGGGCGACGGTAGGGGCTGCTGTTTGAAGGTGGACTTGTGGTTGTAATTGGCTGCTTTGTGTTAGGATCCAGTCATGGTGGTTCTTTGCTTATTCTTTTTCCCTTTTTGATCCTGCAGATTCGGTAATTTTCGCTTATTATATATCATGTATGCTTATTTCATTCACAACCCAACCGGGTGTCTTTGACCTGATGGATTCCTCCTCTCCTCGCTCATTCCATTTGAGCTTTTATACTCTGCTGTCTCTGCACATTTAACTTTTAAAAAAAAAGTTCTTGGTGAACTTGGAAAGTTTTTTTTTTTTTTTGGGGTCCTTTTAAGGTTTTTTTTTGAAGGACGGACTACTAATATGATTCCAAAGTAGCTCATATTATATTAGTGGGATCAATACATATGGATGATAACAACAACAGTGGAATAATGAAGGCAGCAGCTAACCTAGAGTTAGTCCAGTTACAAGAAGGTTTCAAGTTATTGAATAATCTTCATAAGCGTTTTAACGTGTCTATCCATGCAAGAATTATATTCATAAATTATAAGGCGTAATACAAAGCCTTTTTCGTTCAAAACTAACTCCGTCTTCTTTTAGAATTATACTACTGATGAGAAATCTCTCATGATTTACAAGCCTACCGTTATGTTCCTTCGTCAACTTTCATTCACACGGCGGTTAACTAAAGTAGACCAGATGAAAGCAGTCAGCGTAGTCTGACTGATTCCTTTCATTCACACGGCGGTTAACTAAAGTAGACCAGATGAAAGCAGTCAGCGTAGTCTGACTGATTCCCTGGTTGCGAGTTCTTTGGCCAGCAAAACTTGGAAAGGAGATTTGTAGAAGAGGACCTGGCAATTAAGAAACATTTCTTTGGCAAAACCCAAAAAATAAAATAAAATTTCTAAATGTAGTGCCGCATTTACTCTGTAAAACATAGGGACGCCAAAGAGTAAAATTAATGTCCAGTGACCAAGTCAGCAATTTGGCGATGACTTTCTGAGCGTTCTAATCTAAGTGTGTGTGTGTTTCTTCTGTCTATGAAAAAACCAAGTTAGCATTCTTATTTATTAATTTTCTGAGTACCATTTCTTACCGAAAGATAATATATGGTTTAGAATTTGTATAGTTTATTAAGGCAACTATTTAATATCTTTTGGCGACTAATTCTTAACGCACTGTATCTTGTGTTTTAATTAAGAACTTCATACCTGTCTGTCGATCAGAATTTTTCTAAATTTTCTCCTGAGGTTGATTTTCTTTCTTTCTTTTTTTTTTTTTCCTTTGTGCTACTGCTTGCCCAAAAAGAAAGAAAGGGAAAAAAAAAATCCCTGTTACGTTAAGGGTTTGCCAGACTCCTACCCATTTATTAAACCCTAATCTCTGTTCAAATTGCAATGATGAATACAAGGAAAATGAAACGATCTTTGTCCAGCTAGCCCTCTAACACCTAATGGTAGATTTACATATTGATTGTTAGCAGTGGCGGAGCTAGGAATTGCAATTAGGGGGGCGAGTCTCTGTTATTTGGACCAAGTCCAAATAACTTTCAAACATTATTGTTTGGGTCCTTGAGAGGGGGGCAAAGTGAAATTTTTTATCAATATTTTGGGGGGGGGGGGGCAAAACAATATAATAAAAATTTTTTTACTTAGAAATTTTTTTTATAACAATTGGAGGGGGGGCAAAGTGAAATTTTTATCAATATTTGGGGGGGGCAAAACAATATAATAAAATTTTTTTACTTAGAATTTTTTTTTTAACAATTGGAGGGGGGCGGTTGCCCCCCTGGCCCCCCCTTCCCTCCGCCCCTGATTGTCAGTGATGGAGCCAGGATTTTTTTTTTCTAGGAGAGGCCTTAATATGCTATGTTCAAAATAATTTCCATCCATTTAAATATATTACATCTAAAAAAATCAAATATTAATTATATAATATATATTATATAAACTCTCATAATAAAAACTAAAATTATAAAAAATTAGAGAGGGCTAACTTTGTTTTACACATATATTTACACTATAAATTAAAATTTTCAAAACCTAGGAGGGGCATGCCCCATCGACCCCCTTAGCTCCGTCATTGTTGATTGTGATGATGGTCTAAGTTAGCGTTCTTATCAACTCAAGGATTAGAATGGGTGAAAAAGCTTCAAGTCGATAGCTGATTGCACTATTAGTGATAACCTGTGGGGTTTCGTTGGATGAACCAGCTTCTTTTATATGCCTAGCTCGACAAATGAAGCTAAAATTTTTGTTACAACCGCATCAGAATAATTGTACAGCCTGACAACCAGCTTATTTTGATTAAAGAAGCTTACAACCTTAGCCTAAGTGATATATATATGATTAACATCACTAGCAAGAACGGCATGCTGCAGTGCATCTATGTCTTAATTAAGCCAAATGCATCCCAATGAACCTTCATAAATTAATTAATGGTCCAAAATTTCTTTCATCCTTTAGAGTGGGATATCTTTTTTCTTTTTTTTTTTGTGGGTTCTAGATTGATTGATCCTGTGTTTTGAATGTTGACTAGCTAAGTAGTTTCAGACTGGGATTTGATTAGAATACATCCGTGATACACGACGGGCCAACCAAGATGGAAGTAGTTGAGCTTTCCCACATATGAATTAACAACATCATCATTCATCAATTCTATTTGTTTCAAATTCTTGCACGAATTAATCAAGAAATGGTGTCATACATTGACTTTGAATTTGCATCTTAGTTCACATTGCTTTGCCAAATCAATAATATTGCATGGTAGGACCGTGGGAGAAAAGCAAAAGCTAAGGATGCATGACGTCAAAAAGAAGTAACCGAGTCTTTGATGTCCTTTTTTTTTAAAAAAAATCTTTTTTCCTTTTGAAAATCAAGGTTTAAGTTTCGATAAACTATGATGGGAGCCCTTAAAATATTCAAATTATCAGCTTTCGGTACCTTACCTATTTCGAGTCTCAAATGAACACCTCAATGATAAAATGCATTAAAAATCTTGATCCTTTAGTCTATTTTTTACAATTACAAGTGTTGAATCTAAGGGCCGAAATTTGACACATTTAATAGTCAAAATAAATTGAAAGATCAAAAGTTAACATTTTTTTATTATATGTGTGGTTAGCATAAAAAGTTAGGTACAAGTATCTTTATTTTTTCATCTATTGTTTCTTTATTATTATTAATTTTTTTTTTGACACCTAAGAACAGGGGGATTTATGCAATGAAAACTTGTCTTCATTACCTAGCCCCATTTCTTTAGGAAGTGGAGGAACAGTTCACTTTCTTGCTTTCGACAACAAGAAACCAAAAGAATCGCAATAATGGGCATTTTAAAACTACATACAAGGAACAAAAAAGCTCACCTACCTACCTTAAATTCGTGTAGCTTTTCGTAAACTCGGGAAAGGTAGAAGCTAGGGCCTAGGCCAGAAAAATACAAGTCATATGTCCTTCTAACTCCTCCTGCCGCTGGAAATTTCGTGACTGGGCTTTGTGCTGTTGCCGTGTTTTCTCCATTCTCCTCTCTAAAGTCTAAAGTGGTCTAAAAAAAATCCATATACTAGCAACATTCGTATACCAGCGATAGCCAGAGCCATACATATGCATGCACCACAAATTCAGAATCCTTTTAAAGAGTAAGTTTGGATTGTTATTTTCTCAAGCTTTTATAGAATAATGTACAGTAGCGATTTGATATACGTAAAGGAAAATGATAATTGAGAAAAACTATAATCTAAACAATAAATCTCGTAGTTTGGTCGCATGTTAAAAATATCTATCTACCGAACCGAAAAAGAAACAAAAAAATAGTAGTATATATCTGTCAATAATCCATCATTATTGTCAACAATGTGAATGGTTGAGGTTTCAGTTTCCATATCCTTATTCCTCTTCTGGCAACAGCAATAATTTTATTTCATCACTGATGGGTTCGAAGGTTTTTAGCATTCTGCTATTCTCTTGACCTAAAACTGCAATCCTGTTGCATCAGGTCCGCGGAAGCTGCTTCTGTCATCCTTTAACAGCAAATTGTTTGCAACAGGGTTAATACTGATTATGACGGGTTCAAGTTTTCAAACCCGCTCGGCCACGGATTGCGTTTTGATTAGGATAAAAAGCTATCATTCACGACAAAAGTAAAATCCCTCGCCAAGAAAAATGTTTATTTTCTTCGTCTTCTTACAATATCATATCATGCAAAGCTAAAGATTTTTTTTTTTTTTACGTGCAACATTGGCAAACCTAATTAGCAGTGCATGAGATTAATTGCGTGGTATTCAAAACAAAACAAAAATTCGGGAATAAGTTAAGTAAGTGTGGTTATCAGATATTGAATTATGTGTCTGTCTTAATCAACTTTATTGTTTGTTTTTGGGGGGGGGGGGGGGGGTGGGGGGTGTGACTGATTGCTCTATTTACTTTTGTCAAGACAAGATAGGACCATACCATAGCGTTGTAAATCAAGAATATACAATAAGTGAAGAATAGGGTCAAGAAGAGGACCACCGTGGCTTTTGGTTTTGGGCAACAAATTGTCAAATTATAATGAATTTTTTTTTTAAGCATTAGCTACTTGTCATACACGGCCGGCCGCACACGAAAATGATATCATGCTTGAATCCCAACACCCACCGCCCTCCACCCCTCTTTTCTCTCCAAAATAAAATATAACACCGTCTTCTCTTCTCGCCTCTGTCTCTACAATGTACATACATCCACTCATTTTTTATAATTTTCTTTTTTTTTCTTCTGGCGGACAGCCCACGGATACACACACTACACGCACCGATGTAACGTATAAAACCCTTCTCATTTTTTGCTTTTTTTCTTTCTTTTTAAAAAAAAAAAAAAAAATTCTGTCCTCCACAAGTCTCCTAACTGATCCCAAAGCAATATGATGACAACAAGCAAAGGTGGAACAACTGCCCCTCCAGCAACATCTCAGCCTAGCCAAGATGAACAGCAACGACAACGAGAGTGCTGCATGTGTGGCGATTTTGGCCTATCTTCTGAGCTTTTCAGATGCAAAATTTGCCAATTCCGATCTCAACATAGGTAAATTTTGCTAACAAATCTATCCCACCATTAATTCTGTTCTGTTCTGTTGACCCTTTTGCGTCAATAATATTGCAGTAAAACTCACTTTGTCCAATCGTTCCAGATAACGCTTGCATCAATCATCCTCTGTCTCACCGCCAACTTTGCAGGTATTGCAGCAATACATATCCAAGAGCGGAGTCTTATCGCGCTTGCAATTGGTGCCTGAATGAGAAGGAAAATTCATTCAACTCTTCTTCATCGAATAAAAATGCTACTAGCACGAAGACGACGTGATGAAGGTCGCCAAGAAGAAGAGTGTTCATGGGGCAACGGCGGCGGTAACGGCAATCTTCAAAGAAGTAATAGTAGCATCAAGAGCGAAAAAGGGTCTCCGAAGTTGAGTGTCATTATTAAAAATAACCGTTCCATCAAGAAACAAAAGTCACCGGAGAGATCATCGCCGTTATTAGCCGCCCGAAAGAGGATTACCACGGGTAGTGCTGTCCAGGAGAGTTTGAGGAGGACAAAATCGGACATATCAAATAGCGGGATGAAGAAACACGTTTTCAAGAATAGAGTTAGAAGATATAAGCTGTTGGATGAGGTTTCAAGCTAGGTAAGTCATGATCAAGTGTATAGGAATATGATACTACACCCTTCCCTTTTTTTTTTTTTTAACCTTCCCTCCTTCTCATCTCATCTGGGCTGTAGCAGCTCATCAATATTTGCCTTTTCTTTATCTCCGGTGGTGTCAATGACCCCACGAGGCTGTTGACGGAAGAATATACTAAAAGAAATGGGGTTTATCGTACAGACCGCAGAGCGCTGGATCTTGATATAAGAGATGACGAGAATCCACATGTATATGAATGGAAGGTGAATCTGAGTTTTGACAATCTTCTAAACTGAACAAATGTATATCGCGCATATTAATTATCCCAAAAAGTGGAAAAGAAAAAGACGAAAGTTGCAATTTAATTTGGCAGCACAAAAGTTGTTATACAAGTTCGGCTTGTGAAAGATCTTTTTATTTTCTAGGATCATTCACATGAAATTAAGTTTCTTGAATCCTTTTATCTTAGCTATAGCATGTATGTGGTTATGCTACTAGATTTCCTTGGAGCTGACAAATCTAGACTACCCTGTGAATGTGATTATCCATCCGCCCGCATAGGCGTATGCTTAAGGTTCTAATATCATGCCATCTGCATAAAATTGCTACTAGCATTAAATAATGGCCGTAATTACCAGTCACCATCGCTATCATGCTACAGTATTACTAATCACAACCTCTTTTTTTTTTTTAAATTTTTTTTTTGGGGGGTTGAAGCATGAGATGATGAGAAATGATTCTTAGCTATCTTTAAGCACAGTCATCAGCATGTGTCGAAGCTGCATCAATCATGCATCTGAGCCAACATAATTTAGTCACAAACAATAGAAACTTTGGCACAAAATATATACGGCGCCATGTTCATTTGATCAAACATTTCTCTAAGATCACCTGTGAGCTGCACTCTATTCTTGTCAATCTTGTGTACGAGTGTTTAAGCACTTGTATGTCTCTCCATCACAAAATATAGCAACTTTTTTTTTTTTGGAAATTGTTTTTTTTTGGGGGGGGGGGGGGGAAGAGGGTAAGGGGGTTATCTTTAATTGTGTTTCCAAATGTTTTTTTTTGGGTAGAAAAGCGACATGAAGTTTTGCGTTACCACAAACGTCTGCACTTGCTAACGTGCCAAAATGCAACATGAATTGTCGCCTTCACTCTCTATGGAGCGCGATGTGAAAATGATGTGACAGGAGCGTCCTCTGGCTCTGGTTTAATGAAGCAAATTGAAAATTCCAGTTTCACTTAAATCCTACTGCACAAAACAAATTGATAATTATATGTACCATCACCATGTGATGATACGCAGTTAATAGAATATTCTTTTCATTCTGGTGCTGCACTCAAAAGCACCATTTACAACATGATACAAGAAAGTTGAGAAAGAACAGATTTAAAAAAAAAAAAAAAAAAAAGAAGATGATGAAATTAACATAGATGATAGATCTACTAGTGTTAAACGTGTTTAAGTCCATTAAACATGCGATTCTGAACATGTTTTTTTAACAAAAATGCTGTGGACCAAACACGTTCTAAGTTTGCTAATAAATATTATGAGAGTCTCTTAAGACCTCATTTCATTGTACTGCAGGCCTGATTCACGATGCTCGTGCTCTCATCTGTGTGTGTTTCCACCATTTGATGTTGAATGATAACAACCGTCTTGCCGGGTTTTCATTGGGTAATACCACCTAATCATCACGTGAAAAGTGGATATTAAATGTGCCCATCTATCATTCGGGATTAGTACTGCATCATCTTCCTCCAGCCTCTTTTATCCTTTTTTTTTTTTTTTTTGGTTTAGGATTTCAACTCACCCGTAATATCGAAAGTGATACAATAATAAGAGTTAGTATCATATATACTATCATGTTCCAGCGGATAGCTCGGTTGATTCCGGTCGTCTATCTTTACAGTAAGATTCTAGGTTTGACACCCACTTGCTATCGTTGCTAAGCATTTTTGGGGTGAGCTCTACCCAGCCTGAGGGGGATTAGTTCGGGTGATTCCGGAATATTCCTCCAGACCGTAAAAAAAAAAAGTATATATACTATCATGATCAATACATATATAAAATTTATATTTTAAATTAAAATTAATTATCATACATTTAATGATGATGGTGTATATATGAGCACGGTATAAAAGACTAATACTACAAATAATGATGGTTATCAAAACATAGTCACAATTACGCCACAAATGGTACAATGAAATCTCTTCTCTTTGTTTTCTTGTTTTTGTTTTTTAAGGAAACGAGGGCAATTGTCGCCACAAGACTGGGCTTCGTGGTATATGTCTGAATTTAAGGTACATTTGTTCATGTCTGGATGGGAAATGCAGAACCATTAGGCCTGGCCTACACGGTTGATCTGTAAACACTCAGAAATGTATCGATGAAAAATTAATAGGCTCAAGGCCCACTAACGATGGATGTCCAGTAGTCCGTAAATGGCCCATGGTCTTATATTCATATATCTTCTCAGTTGGGTCATGACGGCAATGAGTTGGGTCATGCCTTAATCAAGTTGCTTTTGTTGGACCCGAATACAAGAAACAGAATCGAGACGATATTCATTTGTGAGTCCAGACACCTCATACCTTAGATCCGTTTGGATTGAGAATTTTCCAACACGATATCTACTGTAACGTTTTTTTTTTTTATGATGTAATATATATTTTAAGAAGAAAAAAAAAGTAGTAAGAAAATAGTGTTTGACAAAGCTTTTTTTTGGGCAAATAATGCCCAAATTTTGTTAACAAAAAGCCAGATAAGTACACTACTGAACTCTTGATTTTTTGAACAAAAACAAAAGGACAATGATTGCTTGCAAGTTTGTAACATTAGAATGAACCAACACTAGAAAAGTAGTATACTGTTGAAGAAGCGCTAAGTTTGTTACAATTCCATCGTACTATCTGTAAAGCTAGAACTGAATGTTGGACCAAAAAGCTTTGTCTGAAGATGATGAGCCAAAAAATACTTAAAAGAAAGGAGCTCCGGGTGTAAATGAACACGGGCAAATAGTAAGTCAAAAGATGTTGGGCTGAAAATGTGTAGTGAAAAATCAAAAGCATAGCATCAGATTAAGGATTGCAGAGTGGAGGTTTCATTTATCTCGGTGTTGTCTAATTTATTTGCACCGCAGCAGTCGTCGTATTCTTAAATGCCATTCATGCCATACGATCCAATCTCTTTGTATAGGCGGTGGGAAAATGCCATTCATTGCCTAACATCTATGCTCTTTTTGCTACCTTGTATTGATTGCTTCAGATTATGGTTTCCATTTCATATTTGGAATGAATTACAGACAGGCAGTTGGAGTTATGCATCAGTGGTCGGGAGCCAAAGGGATGGTTCAATTCTCACTCAATCACCTGATTCTTCTCCGTCACTCCTATTTTCTTGCTTTCCTTTCCCTATCTTCAAGAACGTACGCAGTTCTTGGATGAGTGAAAGCGAATGAGGTATTGAGTACTCGAGCTTACACATTGCAAGAATCCACAGAAAAAAGATCAAAGAAGGGAGGAGAGAAGAAGAAGAAGAGATGAGAATCGCAAGTGTGCAATGAATTTATGATGGAAAGCCCATGTCATGTTACGGTGTAAGGCTCGAGCAAAACGTGAAGAAAATATTGGAAAAAAAAATGAGTAGGGGACCAAAAATCTGTTTATAGACTGCCGGGAAGAATTACAAAACTTAGGATTCATTACGAACTCATCTTAATAGTTAGAAGTTATTTATTATAAATCTCTATTATATGATTGTACAAGTAATTAACAATGAATTAGAATATATTCAAAATATGTTGTCTCCTAGGTTCTTCTCCCCGTTTGGATTGCTATTTTTAGGAGTTTTTGTAGAAAAATATACTGTAGCGAGATTTGATGTATGTGAGATTAAAAAATAATTAAAAAATGTATTTACAAAATACTTAAATTTTTATTTTGCAAAATATTACAACCCAAACAAGGTGAAGTCCCGTCCCTATAAATAGGGGTGTCAACGGGTCAGGTTCGGATCCGAAATTTCGTATATCTGACGGGTCTTGACCTTAGAGTTCCATAATCAGATCCGACGGGTCCCAGGTCAGGTCCAGCTATCCGAAAAGAAAATGTTCAAATTTAAACATTCCAAAATTAAATCCAAAACCAATCAAAAATCTAATCTTCAAATTTAAACAAATCAAATTACAAAAATCATAAATAACTCGCAATAGTCAATCCAAAACTAACTACAAATCAATTTATAAAGTCATTAATAAATTGTTAATTTGGTAAAAGAATGTATTTAGAAATATTTATATTTTATAATTATTAATATATTATTTGGTTCGAGTTGAAATCCTATATTCCGTATCCAATCCATTTATTTGTTAGAATAAATGGGTCTGAATCCAAATCCGAGTATCGGAATTACTTTTCAATCCAAGCTCGAAAAATTTATCGAATTCGGATTCAAACCCAACCTGTTGACCCTCTGCCTATAAATACATTTATTTATAAAAAAAAAACATATATACGTCATCCTCTCACAAAATTATGGACCCCAAAAGTGAGTCCCACCTGGAGCCTTTGCCAGACAGAGAGTCCCTACAAGAATTTTCATTGCCTTCGCGCATCGCTTGAACTAAAAAAACTTGGTATTCATCCAATAATGAAAAACAAAATAATCCGCTCGGACTGAAGATTATTTATAATTTTTAAAAAGGGTCTATCTAATAAATGCTTATTAATTAGGATTAATATTCTATACTAACAATATGTACACTTTTATTATTAGATGCGCGTCACATAATTTAAATTTAAACTTGAAACTCAAATTTTACATATGTATCATATATCTAATCGTGATAATTACATACAATCAATATATATAAAATTTATTCTATTAATTATAATTAAAAAAATGTATAGATATAATGAAGTGCGATAAATATAAATAGAAAAAGTGTATAAATATTATATATATATATTAATATGTCCATTTACATACTAAATCTTTCGGAAATCGTGTAGCATTAATATGATTCGTGAGAGTGAAAGGTGCAAAGAAAGTCCAAGTTACTGTTGAGCGCTGGGATGGAGTTGAAAAAGAACATAGTCAAAGTCAAAAGCGAGGACATTAAGAAATCACATCATCACAACTGAAAAGAGGCTCCCCATCTCCATCCATGTAGGCATCTTTCTTACTACCAAATTAAATGTAGCTAGCTATAGTGTACTCATTCCAATCTAGCAGCATGGGATCACTATGGGAGGGAAATCAAAATCTAAACGCCGTGACGGACTTGCCTGTTAACTTAATAGGCTAGGTGATGGAGTGACGTGACGGAAGATGCCGCAGGCCGTCAGTTTTGGTTTAAGCTCCACAGTCCTCCCCAATTTGCAAGAAAGAGGGTATCCGAACTCATGCAGGTACGGTTTTGACAAAAAAAAAAAAAAAAAACTCATGCAGGTGCGGAACCACCAGCCTTTCGGCTGGAGGTTACCACCAAGCCATGAGGTCACCACCAAGTCTTTTTTTTTTTCTCTCATTTCTTAAGCGAACTCAAGAATGCGTAAAGGAACCTAATCCTCGAACAACCTTCAAAATCCGGCAACTTTTGAAGGCACCCGAGGGACTTATCTACCCAAGTCTTAAATGGCTTGGTAGGGTGAATCTTGACTTTCATTAATTATCACGTTAAGTGATTTTTTAAAAAATTCAGACGAATATATAGTACACTCGTCTGATTCGATAGTGATTCAGTTTTCACTGATTCCTTAGATCTAGTTGGGTCTTCCCCTTAAATTAAGATAATGTAAAATACTATATAAATAAAGTGAGATTGACAAAAAAAAAAGGAACTCATGCATGTATTGTCCTATTTCATTGGCATAGTATTTCTACTGTATTAGTAGTAGTACTTCTAATTCCCTTTTTTTTTTTTTTTTGCTTGGTTTTTCCAGGTATTAATCGTCGAGGGGCTTCGTTCAGGTACAGGTAGGGCAGGCTTCTGCGGCTCATCACCTTCATGGGACCTCTGCTATCTTTTTCCGATGACTGAGAAACTCAGACTTTTTCGTTACTAAAGTTGACCTGCGAGAAACCTTCAAAAGCCGGCAACTTTTGAAGGCTCCCGCAGACCTTAATAAACCCAAACCCCAAACCCCCCGAACCGATGTGGGATAGAAACCCCACTATCAACCAGTAATGTTTTGTAGTATTCGTTTCCATGAGGGTTACTAATCACAACTTAATCAATCACACATCAATGTTTGTCAGAGGACAATTATTCAACGTATTGACCCCTTTTTGTTTTTTGGGTCTGTTTCAAGCATTCATTTCTTGCTTTTCTTTCTCTGTCCCTTTATTTTGGCATTCGTTTTTTTTTTTCGGCTTTGCCAACGCCCTTTCAACCATTGAGAATTAAGCATCACGAGGTGAATTTTTGGTCATCAAGAGCAACATCTTCCATTTTTTGTCAATACGACTGGAATCTGAGTTACTTGTGTGAATAAAACGGAAAGAAGGGCAGGAACAGTTGCAGTTGCAGGCTGCAACCGTTTCTGACAATTCACAATTAAGATTTGGCCAAAAAAATTATACGGTCCAAATCTCCATATTGTACCTTGTTTTTAATAACATGTGTAGGATTCACAAAATTTTGTTCTAGAATTACACGTTGTTGAAAGTAAATTACACCATGGACAAACAGAACCACGCCACGTGCAAAATATACATAACCGTTTTGCACATAACCTTCGGAAACGGTTGCTCAACCGTTCCTGCCCCTAGTCCAGAACGGAACGTGCTCTTGCAGCTCTTCCAGTGATGCATGAATTACCTTTTCTCTTTCTGTCAAAAGGTAAAAAATGGGCAATTGCAAAAAATAAATGTCATTTGCTCTCATGGAGTGAATATTGAAGAGAAATCAACCGTTCACGTACAAATTCAAAAAAGTGAAAAAGGGTCAGACAATGTTCATGTGAAAGCACCTATTCAGCCTTAAAGTAGTATAGAGAACAGTACAATAAATAATTGATAATTCGAGCCATGATTCATTTTGTTGCACTTTCAAGCTTCAGCTCTCAGATTTGAAGACAGCCATGCATGGAAAACCCCAGAAAAAGGTTGGAGCATGCGAAGAGAAGACTTGCCAAACAAAAAACTTTTGAGTGTAGACTAATTCACTTCAGCTTTTACACATTACATGCATATATATATCCATTCCCCTTCGGAATACGTATTGTGTTTGGATTGCATTTTCCGTGATTTTTCATGGAAAAATTATTGTAGCGATTTGATGCATGTGAGGAAAAAAGGTAATAGAGAAATGTGATCACGGAAAACGACGTAATTTTTTTACGAAACCGACAATCCAAACAAGACCGTAACTTCCTAAAATGTACACTATGAATTCGAAAGTCTTCTTTTGGCTCATGGAGATTTTCATCTTTCCATGGGTATGACAAGTCTATAATAAATTATTTAAGTACAGCATTGAATTTTGAACTTGATTTAGATCCACAAGCAAGAAATAACGTCCGGCAAATAGTCTAAGATGCCATTGACAATAAGAAACTCAGCGGCTACTGCTGTTTATTTGCGTATGAGCATTTTCAAGAGTTGTTATCCAACATTATTGGATGCAGACAAATAAAAATAGGTGGAAAGCGGTTAAATTTCCTTGTCATACCAGACAAATTGAAGCTTGACCTTGTCCATTTTTCATTCTTCCCAAAAAAAAAAAAAAGGAAATATTCTGGCATCACTAGTTAACTGCAATTCCATTATTTTCAACTTCTACATGGAATAAAGCAGATGACTTTAAAGATAAGAAAACGGGAAGCAGATTTGGAAAGGGGAACCCGATTAACATTGCTTGCCTACACATCGCTTTCGCACCTAATATAATTGCTAAGCTACAATAATAAACAGCCTAACTAGTTTAGGTGCAATTATTAAATGTTCTGTTCTTTTCTTTCTTATAGTGACAGAACAGCCAAAAAAGAATAGAAGATTGGAGTTGGAGTACTTAAATTTCATAGTCTTGAGTTGATGACGATTGGTTTTTTTTAATTGTATTAGGATAATTAAGTTGACAATAATGGAAAAGGTAAGGCGTCCTTTATTTTCATCAAGCAGCTTGGACATTTCTTTTAATTTGTTTTGAGATAATTAAGTTGACACTCCAAGCATATGCATCTTTTAAAAAAAAAAAAAAAACTTTTTTGGGTTTTCTAAATTATTTTTTAATTATTTTTTATCTCATATATATTAAATTTTAAAAAGTGCTTATTACATTATTATTTTTCTACAAAAACTCCCCGAAAATGCCATCCATGTATAGGCTCTAAATGTTTTCCATTTTGGCTAAAGTATTTTGTCATGATCCTCTTGGATGCAGTCATGTAGAAAGTAAAAGAAAACCGACGACACAAGGACAATGTCAGGTTTTTTCAGTCTGTTCGATAATTTCAATGTCCACCAATACTTGGTCTACACCACATACTGTGCCATTATAACTTTCGTTGCTTCGACCTCCATGCTCAAAACAATTACAGTTCACTAATTAGAGAATGATATTCTCCTAAAAAGAAGAAAAAAAAAGGAGATGATAATAATATGTTTTCATGCTGCTGAAAAATCTTTTTTTTTTTATTTTTAGGTTCAATACAAAAACAATGAATAAATGAGTTACTATATAATCTCGCGGTCCAAACTACACGACTTCGTTAAAATTTAGGCTCCATTTGGTAAGTGAATTTTTTGGGTATTTATTTAAAACGTTACTGTAATTTACAGTAGAAATTGTAGAAAAATTTTTGAAGTGTGTAAATTTTTTAATATTTTGAAATGTATAGTTTAAAATTTTTGAAAATTTTTTTAAGATTACTGTAGTTAAAATTGTTAAAAAAATTGTAACAAACAAACTTGGACAAAAACTTGCTTGTCAAACAAGGCCCTAATTATCATCCTTGTTTAATGCCTAGGTGCACACTTGACTTCATAATCGTCAACTTGCAAACTCTACCTCTCAATTTCTACGAACTCTATCGGGACAAAGGCTTTAGAGTAATTTTTTTTTAAGAAAAGGTTTTGGTAGATTGGGCTCCGGTCACATTATGGAACACATCTCGAGACTATAAATTACTTACAGAAATTCTTCTGATAGAATGCTCACTAATACAGCTCTCATATTGATAATGAAATTTGATCACACGGCCTTTTGTGCTAGAATAATACTACTAATTATTGAATGAACTTCCATCCTTTCCGTTCAGGTGGCAACATTAGCTTGGACTTTTCCAGAGCCAACCAGTTAATCTCTTGACGCTTGGGCTCAAACATCGACCCACATGTAAGACAAAGGCTAAAGTAATGACAGGGGTCACCATTTATTGTAGAGCTGCCTTAAAAAATGGCATTTACGCATGAGAAAAGAAAAAGGGGGGGGGGGGGTTTGGGTGGGCAAAAAACCAAAAGCACCAATTACCACTGGAAAACAAGGCTAAAATTATAGTAGGAAAGTGACAATTGGACTAAAGACACATAGAAACAGCGAAGGAAAAGTTCTTCTATTCAAGGTAAATAATTAAGCAGACGTGAATAGCAATGCAGCTGAGCTTCTCTTCCTGTGAAAATGACGAAAACACATATATGCAAAAAAAAAAAAAAAAGGAACACATCTACACAATCTTGTCTGATCTGGCATGGGGTCAGAGAGTCAATTCCAGTGGAAAATATAATTGATGGTCGAAAAAGGTATGGCCACATTGATTTTCTTCACTCTCCATTGCAAATATTGTTAATTTCTCTTCCCTAACTTAGTTCAAATGCTTTCTATTCGCTTCTGGTCATTTACTTGTCCGTCTGTTAGCAAACTCCCCCAACCCTCGGCACCTTTTCCATTTTTACCTTTTTCCCTTCTTCTTCTTCTTTAAGTCAGCTGGTATATGTAGGTATCAGTATTACATGCTCATCGGTATCCTTTTGAAAGCCAGCCAATGACTTCAACAACACTAATAGTCCAACAAAGAGTGGAAAATCCAATGATCACTTTCTAAGTCCACATTAACAGCTAGCCAGTAACTTCAACAACAGAGCAGAAAATCCAATGATTTCTTTCTGAGTGCACATTAATGCCTTGGATCTGTCCAACACCGTATCATGAGAACAAGAGTAAAGTTTTTGATCCACAAAATTGTCATAAGGTTAAGGTTGCACACAAGTAGGTAAATGGCGATTCATTCTTTGATTCAAACTCTTCCATGTTGCACTAGCATGTCGTTTCATGGAGCTAACGTTCAAGATAAAAAGCTGCCTTATCCCTCCAGGTATCCAAACTTAAATCCAAAAAAGCATTAGTGAAAGACAAAGTAAATTCAGCTACTTCCAAAGCAGCAAATCAAACTTCTGTAACATTCTGTAAAAATTAGAAACATTAAGCATTTTTGGGATCAATCACCAGAAATCAAAACAAATAAGACCAAGAAAATACACAGAGACATGATCCTACAGAGTAAGCATAAAGCGCCAAAGAAGAAAAGAAAACTTCTGTATCTATGTATAAATGCAAATCCTAATGAAAAAATTGAGTAATTTCTTTCAAGGAGATGAGATTTTACCATTGGCAATCCTCACAGCCAAGCCAAAATCTGCAAGCTTTATCTTTCCAGAAGTAGTTAGAAGAATGTTTTCAGGCTTTATATCCCTATGCACAACCCCCATTTCATGGCAATACTTGATTACCAGCATCAAGTCCTTAAATATATTAGCAGCCTGGTGCTCAGAGTACAGGCCTTCCCTGGCCATCTGATCAATCAACCTCCCACCAGAACATAGTTCCATCACCAAATGAAAACTTTCATCATCCTCATAGACTGCCTCCAATGTCACCACACCAGGATGGCCTGATAAATGCTGCATTATCTCCACCTCTCTATGAACAGTCTCCTCACCTTTCTTCAGTGTTTTACATGCGAATTGTACCCCGGTAACCTTACTCCTACACAACCAAACTGATCCAAATTTTCCTCTCCCAATCTTGTCCACCAACTCATAATCATCCTCAAGCTTATTCTTCCTACCAGTTTGAGTTGCGGTATCTATACACCCTATCTTCCGCTTAAGCCCTCGACCCGATAACCCTATGGACGAGGCCCCGCATGGTGGCGCTGTGGCAGCAATGCCAGCAAGCCTAGTACTTTTACATGACTTAACAATTTCACAACCCCCGACCCCACCATCACCCTCTTCCTTGCATCTCTTTTTCAACCTTGAATAATCTTCTAAAGAGTAATGAAATCGTAAATTCGATACCGATGAATTAAGATCATGGGATCCCTCGAAAGCCCCAATCTGTTTTGGGCCTAAAATTTCACTCCCTTTCCTCTTCTTTCTCATTAATCAGATTAAAAACTTAAATTCAAAACAAGAACATGCACCAGAGATGCTCAGGAACTTCAATCCTGCAAATTAAATTGTGAAAAAGGAAAAAAAGTAAAAACCAAAAAAAAGAAGAAGAAAGAAGATAACTTTAATCAATGACCATTGGCATAAATTAAAAAGAACCCATGATTCAGTTTTTTGCGAGAAACATACAAAAGCTATCACTTTACAAGAATTAAAGGAAATAAGACAAACCTTTCGGATTGAGGGACAAAACCCAGATGAGGTAAGGAAAGATGAGACAGAAAATATGGGATTCTTTATGGGTTGGATTTGCTTTTATGGTATAGGAAGAGGGACAGGTTGAGATCCAAAAAAAGAACCCTATATACCTTCAAGGGAAGGAAAGATCATATAGGATGGATTGGAAGGAAATTGTTGCTTAGGATTAGGAATGTTTATGATTGTGGATGATTTGGCTGTCGGAAAAATACAATGAGAGAAAAGGAACGCGTCCTATTATATTATGTGAACACCTTCAATTTGTACAGACTCCAGAAGTTGGTTCTTTCTCTAATTCCCCAAGGTTTAAGAATCAACATAGTACTCCCTCCGTCCCATTGAAAGTGTTATGCTTTCCTTTTTGGTCTGTCCCAAAATTAATGTCACTTACTATAATTGGCAATAAAACTTTCCCTCATTTCCATCTCATGCCCTTAAATATACCAGATTTTTTTTAAGTTTTTGATGGGTCCCATAAAACTACAAGAGTTGCTCTAATATGCGTGAGTCTCACCGCAAATGCAAACAATGGCCGTGCAAGCTACTTTCTAAAAAAAATGGCTGGACACATTTGTAAAGTATGGGTCCCACACATCTTGTCATCCTTGCTTTTTCTTTCTGCCACTCAATGGAGTAATGCACGGAAGGGGTAGCGCTGGAATTTAGACCAAAATGCGACACTGTTGAAAAGAAGCTCAAGACCCGAAGTGCGACATTCATTTCGGGACGGAGGGAGTAACAAAAGAGGATATGTAATCATCCGAAGGGAAAAAAGGATTTTTTAATTGTTAGATTTTTCTTTTTTAATATGTTTGTCTTGGGAAATGGGATTGGCATTGAGTACCGGAGTTTGCTGTGTCTGTGAGAAGGATGATACTGATAGTGATGCTGAATTTACCAAACTAAAAAAAGAATCATACATTAAAAAGCTATTTTAGTATTGTTTCCAAATATATAAAGAAAAGAAAGAGTTTAGTATTGTTTTAGGAGAAATTTGCCTAAATTGACAAATTTAATGACAAAATTAAATATTTATCATTATCGTTATTGCCTAGGAATCCGAGGGAAAGGTTTCAACATTTGAAACCTAAACTAGGGTTTGAGAGTTGAACCAGTAATCTCATTTGATTAATGTCTCCATCAATTAAATTTTATTTTGAGAACAAATTTTTAAACTTTAATACGTAGACAATGCTGGTGATTAGTTTCATTCTCGCCTTAAGATTGAAAAGTAAGAACAAGCAAATAAACATATTACTTATTTTATTCTCCTTTTTTAGTAATTTAGTATTTTGGGACAACAAGGTAGCAAATGAAGCCTTGTTTGGATTGCCGGTTTTCGTCGAAAAATTACGTCGTTTCCGTGATCACATTTCCCTATTACCTTTTTCCCTCACATACATCAAATCCTACAGTAATTTTTTCATGAAAAATCACGGAAAATGCAATCCAAACACATTGCTAGGAAGTTTGATATGTTATTGGTTTCTTGTCCATTTTGTGCACTAATTCACCCCTTTAATTTAATTCATGTTTTCCTCCTGCTTTAATTTTGGAGGCTTTAAGTCTCACAAATTCCAATCCCAACCATAGGCACCTTTTTCGATTGATTGTTTCGCCTAATTAGATATACTATGGTTTTGAACAATTGGTGTTTTCATTTGCTTTTGCATATAGATTTTAGATTTTTAATAACAAAAAAAATTTCAGATTCTACCAAACAATAACTTAGATTAATTTTGATTATTTCTATAATTACTTTAATTTTTCATAACCAACATTTCAAATTCAAAGCAAAAAAAAAAAGAAAAAAACTAAAAGTAAAAATGAGCAAATGAACCTTAATCACTTCTCATCCCTTGTGAATTTTTAAAAATTGATAGTTTAGTTGTCTTATTTATAATTCAACCATTACCTTATTTGTTCAGGAGGTTTTCTAATTTAAATTACCATTAGTTACTCTATTCATTTTAGAGCTTCATTCTCGTTTGCTGTAGATTTTACAAAAAAAAAAAAAATGATTATAAAAAGTGATTATGACAATCAATCAATTTGATTATTTCAATAACTAGAGCATGCAATGGATCAACAAAAATGTACATACTCGTTTGATTAATGTACCTCATTATAAATTTTGATTCTGAATAATCAAAATTATTTAACATTTTTTATGTTGATCTATTTTTGGTTCTTTTTCTTTTTTACTTTTTATATTTCTCTTGTAGATCTCTTAATAATAAAAAATTAAAATCTGGAATTTACCGAAAAAAATAGTTACTCATTATTTTCTATACTATAATCACTTTCTTTCTATAATTTACTTGTACAAAATTTATAAGGGAAAATCGCCAATTTAGTCCCTAAATATTTTCACTAACGCCAATTTGGTCCTTTAAAGTTTTTTACTATGAAATTAGTCCTCAAAGTAAAATATATACGTCAATTAAGGACCTGCGTCGTAGCGCCGCCGCAAACTTGTCTCTTATTGAAGTAGACGGCGGTCCATTCAGGGGCTTTTTGGGCATTTCATGCACTCTCTCAAAAGTTTTCCTAATTTCGGCATATGTTGGACGCAAACCAATTTTCTATCTCGAATTGAGCTCATGATCTCCTTCTGTCCTTTGACAGCATTTTCATAGCTCTGCAAAAGAGAATCAATCCACTTCCCCATTGATCCCAGAGGGATGGAAGTAGCAGCAGCAAGGACGGCCGCAACAGGAGGAACAGCCATAGCAGCAGCCATGACTGAACATATAAGAACAGCAGCAAATGCGGCAACAAAGATAATGCTCGACAATTTTCTCCAAGCATGGATGTACTTAAGCTTTTATCAAGCTTAGTCTTTCGCATTTGCAGCTTCTCAAGCATCAGAATTTGGGCATGGGAAATTTCACTAGGCTTGACAACTGGATTAGAAGCCATGGCTACTAACTTTTTGGGCAACTGGGCATATCCAGTTGGGCAAACTTCCCTATTTTTGGGCAACTGGGCAACTAGATTAGTCACCAAATTTGAAAGACTAAGCTTCTAATCCAGTTGTTTCTCTTGAAAAAATAGATATTGAAATTTTTCTGGGAGAAACAACATATGAAGAAGATTTTTTTACCTTTCATAACAGGGTAAGTGCATTGGAACAAATCTCTGAGTAATTCAATTGGTTGTAAAGATAAAAGGCGGGGAAAAATCCCAAAAGAAAAAAAAAAGGCTTCCATCTGAAAACTCATATCAACCACCGAGAATCAACAATGGTTCTAATCGTCTTTAGTCCTCAGAATTAGGAACCGTTTCAAGTAAATCAGAGCTTTAATCCTCTGTCTGAATTCCAAATCCACTCGCTTCAATTGATAGAGTAGCTATAGAAGACCCATGGACGGAGAGAGACAGATGAGGAATTCCGGCAAAAGCTCCAAAACAAATGTGAAGGCCGGCAACGGTCAGGAGATCAGGAGAGACAGGAAATCGGGTACAAGCATGAATGGATTGCCGAAGAAAGGTAGCCATGGCGCTGTTACTCCGATGCTGAGCTAGGACGGATCCACAAAGAAGCTGTCGCCGTAAATGATCCCAACTATGAAGATCCTATTAAGAACGAAGACTGAAGATCATAAATATCATCGTCGTCGTCATCGGCTGTGATTATGAAATGTTGATCTTCTGATTTCTTTGTTTTTTAAGAACTTGGAGATGTAAATACGCCTTTGATTATACCTAGGTATATGAATCTATGGTGATCTGTGATTTACCCTATTAAACAAAAAAAAAAAAAGAATTCCAATCCGATCTTCACCAACCCAGAAACTGATCTTCCGACTTGAAAATTCCTGCAATCTCCCCTGTCGAACAACATTCAGCAAAAAAAGACGAGCTTAAATTGCCAAAGATTCATACAAGAAAATCCCCGAAAATCAAATTTCCAATACCATCACTAACCTCCAAAGCTTCAGGATCAGACAGAAAAATCAGATTTCTAAGGAAACTCAAATCCCAATCCAAAGAATTCTTCTGAAAACAACTCCAATTCCTCTTGAATATCCAGTTGCCCAAATTTCACCAAGCTTCTCAAGCCCAAATTTCGCAATTTCATCGGGCTTCTTACTCATAGGACTTCCCATGGCTTCTTCTCAAGCTTCTAAGAATTCATGGCATGAAGTGCCCAAAAAGCCCCTGAATGGACTGCCGTCTACTTCAATAAGAGACAAGTTTGCGGCGGCGCTACGACGCAGGTCCTTAATTGACGTATATATTTTACTTTGAGGACTAATTTCATAGTAAAAAATTTTAAGGAACCAAATTGGCGTTAGTGAAAATATTTAGGGACTAAATTGGCGATTTTCCCAATTTATAACTACAAGAAGGATACATCCATAGGTTCAACAACCGTACATGCACCTTGTGCCCCTACATTCCATGGGTACACTAATCGTACCTCCTGATTAATCCTTCCTTTAATCAAACACAACCAAGATACTGAGTCCTGACATACCTGCACCCTCTTGTCTTGGACTTGATGCAGCGCTCGGTGTCCCAGACTGCTATTAATTCCCGGGGGTTGCCTCTATTACTGCAGACCTGTATGAAAACGGAAACTCCCCCCTCCCCTCAAAGAAAAGAAGCTTGACACTTCAGAGTTCGAAGTTCTGTTGCTTTGGGAAAGAAAATGGCCCAGAATTGTATAGGAGGAGCTCTGAGCCCTTCCAAAACCCTTACGCCAAAATGCATACCAATCAACCATCCAAACCCTTCATCCCTCTCGTCATCTTCTTTGCGTAAATTGATACTAACAAAATCCAAGAAGTGCCTTCCTCTGTCAGTTTGTATCTCTGCATCAATGTCATCAAGCCAGCAGCACCAACCGCCACTTTCTCTTGAGGCCTTGAAAACCAGTGAACACAGAAATAAATTCTTGAATGCTATCCAGAGCTCATTGAGCAATTGTTTATCTGAAACCCATCTTGATTTAACCGTTCCTGGTCTTAAATCCAAAACCAGAGGCAAGGTAACTGTTTCCAAAATCCTTTCTTTACTCGATTTTTTGTTTAGGGTAATCTTGTGGTTCTTTTTTTTTTAATTGTACTTTTTTTGTGTTTTTGTGTCTCGATGGACTTTGTATTCTTTATGAGGCGTATAATCATATATCTTACTTCTTGTCTCTGCTGCTATGCTTAGTTCAGTTATTTGATGAATGTTGGAAAAGGGAGTAAGAAAAGTTTGTCATTAGTTTGGGAGAGCTGCGAAGACTTTTTTTAAAAAAATTTTATTTTGTGTGTTGGTTGCTGCGAGTGAGAGTAAAGATAGGTTAACCCTGTTGAACACTTCATTAGCGGCTGGCCTCCTGGGGGGCCGGGGGAGCAAGGTGGGGAATGCTTTGCTGGATTGTTTTTTTTGGGGGGGGTGTGAAATGGTAGAATAAGTGGATTCTCTGATAACATAGTTGCTCTCCAGTTTCTTCGTATAGCTGATACTCAAATGATCATTTGACTCACTTTGAAGGTCAGGGACATTTATGATGGAGGAAATTATCTTGTACTGGTAACAACAGATCGGCAAAGTGCATTTGACAGAGTTCTTGCTTCAATCCCCTTCAAGGGACAGGTACATGATTCTAAACATACAGAAAAGATTCTGATTAAAGCAGAAGAATACGTATGATTGGTTGAGGCTAATGAGTGTTTTGCGGCAGGTGCTTAATGAGACAAGTTTGTGGTGGCTTAATAAAAGTCAGCACATTGTTCCAAATGCAGTTGTATCTGCACCAGACAAGAATGTGACCATCGCAAAGAAATGTTTAGTATTTCCTATTGAATTTGTTGGTGAGATATTAGTCACAATAATAGCATGACACTCTTTAAACTGTTTCGATGAATCTTACTTTTAGCTTCTGCACATTTTTTTTCCTTATATGCAATATTCTGCAAATTTTTCTGTCTCCAACTACGTGTTTGTGTAGCAGTATGAAACTATGTGGTTGTCTTTGACTTGCAGTGGCTCTCATTTCCATAGTGAGTCACAAACTAATTCACTTGTTGATTGTTTTCTATTTCTAGTTAGGGGTTATGTGACTGGAAGCACTGATACATCATTGTGGACTGTCTACAAAAAAGTAGTTCGGAATTACTGTGGCAATGTACTTCCTGATGGTGCGACATGTTACTTACTGTGTCAATTCCATCTTTTGTACAACTTCTGGTTTTTATGATTCTTCAATGAATGTATAACAGAAATGGTGAAAAACCAAAAGCTACTAGAAAATATTCTCACACCAACTACTAAAGCTGCAGATCATGATGTTCCTGTAACTCCGGATGAGGTTTTCATTTACTAAATAGAACTTGTCATTCATTAGGCATGTGTATATATTCTGTTGATTTCTAGTGTAATAAAGTAGAGACAATAATAGCCAATTGCATTTGAGTGAATTGGCTTGCTATACATAAAAAAGGGCCTATCTCATGTTGAGCACCCTACAGAAGGAAGTTCTATTTTATCTGTACAATGCGCCTGCTATTAATGTTCTGTGGGACATTGTGAAAAAAAATTCCAATTTTGCCCTCAATTTGGGCAACACATTAATGAGCATTGTTTGTTTTCCTTATCTTTAGTCGTAACCAGCTAATAGATCATACTGCTTATTTGTGCTAAAAATTTTGCATCTCAGATAATTCAACGTGGTTTAATGTCTAGAGCAGATTACGAGGAAACAAGTAAGAGGGCACTACAGTTATTTGCATATGGTCAGGTAGTTAAGTTTTGGCTTTTCTTAAGGGAAATTTGTTTTTTTATTTTCATGTAGTTTTTTTGGTTGTGGCATGGTACATACTCATGCTTTCTTCATTTGTTTAGTTTTCTGGAAACATTTGCTAGGGACATCAGTCCACTATAGCAGAATGCCATTCAAATTGGTATTAAAATTATTCTTCATCTGATGATGTTGATATCAGTTACACAAGTTGACATGAGCCTTCTGCGTGCAACTTAGGGTTAATCATGTTGAAGTCATGTAATTAGGCAGTTTTTCTAATTCTAATTTAATGATGATGGAGAAGCAGTTACTCCGTGATATTTATTAGAAGAACTGCCTCCTTAGGAATTCTAAGCATTGTGATCATTTGTTCAAACTAGGGAGTATTTGAGAAAATGCAAGAATGATCAAGGGGTGGTGAAGTGGAGCTACCATTGGTATATAAATTCTCCTTTCCTTATCCATTTTTTTTCCATAATTAACTGCAGCGGGTGGCAATAAAACATGGCCTCGTATTAGTAGACACCAAGTATGAATTTGGAAAAGCACCTGATGGTACTGTGTTTTTGGTTGATGAGGTAAATGGTATTTTCTCTCTCTCTCTGCTTGTGAAGTGCTCGTGTTTGTGTGTGTCCTGTGCATCTCTTTCTCTCTTACACTCCCTCACACACATTTCCATGTGTAATTATAACACTATCTTGTGTTCTGATTTTCTTTTGAAGGTGCATATACCAGACTCGAGTAGATATTGGATTGGTCATTCTTATCAAGAACACTTTTGGAATGGCCTTGAACCAGAAAATGTTGACAAGGTAATGCCTTGAGGGGGGAAAAAGGTTGGAATTAAAAGCAAAACCTCAAGAAGGCGAAAAACCCGAAAAGCAAAATCAACATTCCAATAATAGAAGAAGTCATTTGTCCCAAATCAAGTGTGCCTACATATATATATGTCGTGTGTGTAACTTTCTTTAATACAAGATTATACTGTTACTCTTGGAGATGCTATAGCATTCTGACTCCCATATTTTAATACTAAACCTTTCCCAGGAGTTCTTGAGGCTATGGTTCAATGATCATTGCAACCCATATGAAGATAAGGTTATTCTATTTAAATTAGTTCTCTGTGTATCATTCGAATGGCTATTCCCACTGAGTTACTCATCAGAACTGATAATGGTGATATCCTTGCTTGGGTCTTGCCTGATGCTCCAGGAGGACTGGTTTCTGAATTAGCTTGGCGGTGTGTTATTCATTCATTCACCTTTTTATATTTTGGCTCATAATGGCATATATTGTCATTTCTTATTAGTTTTTCTCGATGGAGTGAAGACATTGGCAGAGTTTATTAGTTGTGAACACATATTACTGATATTTCCTTCTAATGACAGATATATATTCTTGTTTGAGACAATAACAAATTCAAGTTTTGAGATACCTACAACAAAGGTAAAATCATAATGACTGATTTGTTATCTCAAGGTTACTAGATTAAATCTCGATATGACTTGAATGTGTTCATTCAGGAGCCAATACAGGATCGAATCACCCAAAATGTCTCACAAGCGCTGAAGTCTCTGTTATAGTGTCAGAGCTTCTTGAGGTGTTCAATGCTTAAATGTCATGATTTTCTACCAGTAGGAGCAACTGCAGCAGCAATCAGTACTACTGTAATTTAGCATGCTCAACATCTCTAGCTGACTGCTATGAATGGCTCAGTTTTGCCTATTATGAGTTTGTAGATGGAAGCTCGATTCCTACTGCTAAGATCTTGGTTCGTTTAGGGTCACAGAACTTTTAGGTTTCTTTGAGGGGACAATAGGAAAGTAAGAAAAAACAAAATGTGGGTTCCAGAGGAACTTTCTAGCCGAGCAGGTACTAATGTTGTGGTGGTGACTGAGAAGCAAGCAGAAAATGACTCCTTTCTTATTTTTTCCATTCTGTTCTCTGTTATAGTCAATGATGAAGAAAGTAGAAGTTTGGATGAAAGAGATGTGCTTCGGCCAAGAATTGGATATTCCTAAGTACTTTAACGACCTCATCCTCACTAATACACAAAATAAGAGAAATTCCAAAAATTCCTGGCCAGATACCTGGTTTTGAGCATGGATAAAGATCACCAAGAAAGCATCGGAATTGTTTGGGCCTCAGGATTCCACTACATCACTCTTCTCTTCCACCATTCTCCTGCATTACTCAGGAATTCGGAAGGAGCCACTTGTACATAACTCTTCCACCATTCTCCTGCATTAAAACATCATCAAACTTAAACATGAAATTACCTATAAATTGTTTTCTGATTTATTCAAGTCAACGTACGTGCAAAAATATTGTAGCATTTGAGTTTTATAACCAAAAACAAAACAAGAAGCAGACATTAGATGATGGGCACTTCTGCAAAAGGCTTAGGAAATGGATTTGTATCGCCTCTGTTGGGGTTAACATGGATGGCACCATGAACCGTTGCTCGAGACAAGTCA